TCGGCCCCGGGGACCAAACTGACAGGAGACTGCATGGCGAGGGTTTTATTGCGATATGATATATCTCAACAGGAATACAGTTACAACAGAAGGCAGGCACACTTCGGGGCAGCTCTGACCCACCAAGTTACTGGCATCTGTCGCCAACTCTATAATGACCGGTACGTGTCGCAAACTATTTACAAATCCTGAAAAATAGGACCAAAATCTTTAACCAGGAACTAGATTCTTCTCGTAGTGAAAAGAATTTGGTGGCGGGAGGAGGTGGTAGGGGGTGGGGGGAGCAGGATGCCTGACTGGATCCAGTATTGAGGCAGGGGTTGGAAGAGAGAAGGGAGAGCGGATGAGCTGCAAAAGCAACCTCCCCTCCATTGGAAGGATTGGGGGGAGGGGAGGCTTGTCCCTCCCTCCAGCCCCTTGAGGTGGGGGGGGAAGCCTCACACTCAGGGGCTTCCTGGAGACAAGACCCCTTTGCCGGCTCCTCTCAGGATTGGTGGTGATGGGACGGGGGGGGATTGGGGGAGTGGGACCCCTGTTGCCCCGTTCCAGCTCCTCTCCTTACTCCAGACTCACTTCCCGCTCCTCCCAAAACCCCTCCTCCTGCCCTCCCCTCAGAGGGCCCAGCGCATGCCTCAATGCCGCGATCCCTCGGAGGGAAAGCTGGAGGGAGGGAGTGTCTGGAGCGAAGGAGGTGTCCCATGGCCCACATCGCTCAGGGGCTGGGGGGGGCAGGCGGGGGGGCGGGGGTAAGACGAGGGAGGAACAGCTAAGGCTCCTCTGCTGCCAGATGGCTACCCCCCTCCTCCAGACGCGTCCACACCTCCAGCCGTATGCCTCCTTCCAGACAGTTGCCTTCCTCCAGCCGGGTCCACCCGCCCAGCCGGGATTCGGCCTCCAGAGGCCCAGTGTTACCCACAGGCTGCTCCTGGCCGAAGGCGGAGACCGGGACAATGCTGGGCCCCTCGCCAAAGGCACCGCTCTCCTCCAGCGCTGCCAGGCTGGTCACCGAGGCCAGCAGCGTCTCTGGGTGGCTCTTGCTCTTGTGGGCAGACACGTTATCCTTCTTCTCAAACTTCTTGCCGCAGATGTCACAGGAGAACTGGTATCCGGCCTCAGCGTCGTGTTTCTTCATGTGCCAGTTCAACGAGGCTTTCTGTCGGCAGGTAAAGCCACAGATTTCACACCTGGACAGGGACAGGGAGAGAAAGTCTGGGTGAGACACTGCTCCCAGTGAGTAATAAAGACCGGGGCAGGCAGAGGGACAGGGACAGGGAGAGAAAGTATGGGCGAGACACTGCTCCCAGTGAGTAATAAAGACCAGGGCAGGCAGAGGGACAGTACGCTGCTCCCAGTACGTAATAAAGACCAGGGCAGGGAGAGGGACAGGGAGAGAAAGTATGGGCGAGACACTGCTCCCAGTGAGTAATAAAGACC